TAGTACCTTTTTGTGTAGGCCCTAAGGCCTTCATCCTTACTGATTCTCAGAGCCATCAATGTGTCCACCCTTAATGGTTGTAGCTTGTTTGTCACGAACCTGGCCACAAACATCTCGGCCTGGCCTTCCCAGGTCTTTACACTTCCCTTTGGCAGTTTGTGAAACCAATCTGATGCAATCTCCCCGAAGCATGAGGGGAACACTTTGCAGAGCAACGGCTCGTTCCCACTGTACAATGCCATTGAGTTCAGGTATAATCCAACGTGGAAGTTGGGGTCCGACTTACCATCGTATATTTGGAACCTCGGCATACTGAATCTCTTTGAAGCCTCAAATTTGTCCAAGTCCACCGAGAATGGTGTTCTTGGCTTAATAGGTGAAGTTACCTTGGAATCGGCATTCTGTTGTTTCCTCTTGAGGTAATCTCTCAAGTCTTCCTTGCTCCGCCCAGGAGCTCAACTATCTCCTGACTTCAGTCTTTTCGGCATACTACTCTCAGCTTCGTTGTGGGCCCTTTTCGACCTTTCTCCATGAGTTGTGTCGAAGCACAGATCCTGCCTTTGAACATGCCGATGTTCTCTGGGGTCTGCTTCTTTAGTGCGATGTGTCCTTCGTAACTCTTCGCTCCTCGACTCTCCTCACTCGACCTCCCAGGAAGGCTGGTGAGAATGTTTTTTGCTTCTGGTGTGCTGAGGGGCTATTGGGATTGGTTTCTGCCCTTCCTTCTGGGCATTGGCCGTTGGAATCGGTGTGTCCTGCAGTGGGAATGGTGGTTGCATGACGTTATTTTGCATCATAAAATCGACGACTGATTGCAGGTCTGCCAACTTGTTTGCCATCTCTTTCATCTCTTCATCCCTCCGCAGGCATCTATCTTCCATACCTGGAGGTCGTCCTCATTGTAGTATCTGCTTTGATCTGGTTTCTTTGGCACATCGCCATCCTGGCCGACGTCTTTCTTGCCGTGATTCTGGTTCTGAGTCCCTTCATTGCGACCATCTTCCTCCACGTTTGGGTCAACGTGCTTACCACTCCCAGCAGGGATTTCGTCCCCAACCTTATCCTTCTGTTCGTCACTGGCCATCTATTCTCTTTTCTTTCCCACAGACGACGCCAAATTGTATGAGTGAATTTCTGACCACACTGCCAAACTCAGTATTCAGCTGGAGAGCACTGGCAGAACAGATGGCACTTGACTGACCTGCAACAGAAAGAGAAGATTTTGGCGGTGGTTCGTCCACCCGGGAGCACTACGATGATCAAGTCAGTATATCTCGCGAAGATAATCAATAGTGCTAATCTCACTGTTCAGAATATAAATTGCGTACCTTAGACCCATCGGGGGTGCCTCTTTTTTATAGTTAATTCAATCCTAGTCCCCATAGAAGCCTAGCTTCAATGGATTTCTACTCAGTGCTTATCTTGGACTCTCCAAGAGATAAAGATAAACTCCCTAAGAGTGTTATCCTTATCCATGCTGAAGTCCTTCCTCATTCTAGGACTCTTGTGCCTTATCCGTTTATCCCGGATTCCGATATCTTCGGAGGTAACCTCGGCCTAGCCGAGATAATCTCGGCGTCATGACCAGGACACGTGGCACCTCGGCTGACACGTCGGCGTCACCTTGGCCACGTGTTGAGGGCTTAACGTGTATGAGTTAGTACTCTTTTGATGTAACCAAGTGTTAACTTGGAAAGCTGTAAGCCCGTAGGGCATTTTGCTTTTGCTGTTGACATGTAATACTTTTGTAATGAAACACTGATGAATAGAAGAATGTGGTTATTTCATATGTTAATGAATGTTCTATTTGATGGGATTATTGTTATTATTTTGAGGGCGTTACATCTACTTTGATCTGGTTTCTTTGGCACGTCGCCATCCTGGCCAACGCCTTTCTTGCCGTGATTCTGGTTCTGAGTCTCCTCATTGCGACCATCTTCCTCCACGTTTGGGTCAACGTGCTTATCACTCCCAGCAGGGATTTCGTCCCCAACCTTATCCTTCTGTCCGTCACTAGCCATCTATTCTCTTTTCTTTCCCACAGATGGCGCCAAATTGTATGAGTGAATTTTTGACCACACTGCCAAACTCAGTATTCAGCTGGAGAGCACTGGCAGAACATATGGCACTTGACTGACCTGTAACAGAAAGAGAAGATTTTGGCGGTGGTTCGTCCACCCGGGAGCACTCTGACGATCAAGTCAGTATATCTCTCGAAGATAATCAATAGTGCTAATCTCACTGTTCAGAATATAAATTGCGTACCTTAGACCCATCGGGGGTGCCTCTCTTTTATAGTTAATTCAATCCTAGTCCCCATAGAAGCCTAGCTTCAATGGATTTCTACTCAGTGCTTATCTTGGACTCTCCAAGAGATAAAGATAAACTCCCTAAGAGTGTTATCCTTATCCATGCTGAAGTCCTTCCTCATTCTAGGACTCTTGTGCCTTATCCGCTTATCCCGAATTCTAATATCTTCGGAGGTAACCTCGGCCTAGCCGAGATAATCTCGGCGTCATGACCAGGACACGTGGCACCTCGGCTGACATGTCGGCGTCACCTTGGCCACGTGTTGGTACTCAGAAAATATATCCCCACAATTAATAATATCCTGTACTGAATACAGAGACTCCTTTAACTGAGCTTTAACCCTAAAAGCAATTCTCACCTTGATTAATTCACAAAGTTCATTCAACTGGAATAGTTTCCCATGAAAGACCACATCGTTTCTGATTCTCCATATTAACCATATACAGGACATTGGGATTGCCTCCCAAATTTGATTTTCAAATTTGCTCCATTTGTAACCCCTCCACCATTGTAGCAGCCCATTAACATTATCAGGTATCACCCAATGCACCCCCCACCAATTCATCAGGCACAACCACACCTACCAAATAACAGGGCACCAGAGAAGTACATGATTGACTTTTATAATTCATTAGTTATGACATTTGTGTTAATCAAGACCACTAATGTCATAACTTGTAAATGGTATACACTATTTTAACGGTATGCATGAGGTTGTTGCAATGTGATCATAGAAATAGTTTGTAAAATGTTTTTGTTCTTTGGGATTCGGGGTCGGTGCTGTGACAACAAGGTAGCAAGCACCATTCAGTTTGTTTTTGTAAAAGAAGCCTTTCTTCTATTCAAATTGAATCACTTTGTATTTAAAAACAAAATAAATAAGAAAGAAAGCTAAATGAGTTTAATTGGGGGAAAAAAACGTTCATAACTAAAAAATTGAATGAGTTTCATTAGTTGAAAAAAAAAAGAGAATAACTTTGTAGGGAGATTGAGTGGTACAATATTTTTATTTATCTCAATATCACATCTTTGTACAAATAAATTCAAAAGCAAATTAACATGTAAGTAGAAGTACTTAAAACAAATTACACTTTATCCAAATATTTTCAGGAAATTTCAATGGATCCAATAACTTGGATTCTCCATCCCCGCACATGATGAAGCCTCCATGAGAATCTGAGTTGTTATATCAACTGAAATTCTCTGAAATACTTGGATCAAGTGCCATTTATTTTAAGTACTTCTATTTAAATATTAATGCACTTTTAAAATTTATTTGTATACAGATGTTATATTGAGATAATTAACAATATTGTACTACTCAATCTCCATACAAATATAATTTTTTTCAACTAATCAAACTCAGTCAATTTTTTTAAGGATAAATTACAAATACACCTCTGAAATTTGTTTAAAATACGGATTTCCCCATGCGGTTTGAAAAATTACAAATATTTTCTTGTCATAATTTTTTATTTAACAAAATTAACTGAAAAAAAAATTCCAACTACTCTACATAAAAATTAATTATTTGAATTATTAATTGAAATATATTTATAATATCATCAAAAACTATTAATTGACTTGATGATTTGTTATTAAAAAGGGTTATTTGTTATGAAATTAGAAACTTCAAAGCGAGGGTGTAATTTTCAGAATCACAAAGGGCAATTCGTATTATAAGCAAATCTCAGGGAGTATAATTGTAATTTATTCCTTTTTTTAATTATGATTTTTATTTCAATTAAACTCATTTAGCTTTGTTTTATTATTATTATTATGATTATTATTATTATTATTATTATTAACTGCAAAGTGGTGCAATTTGAATACAAGGAAGGCTTCTTTGAAGTCCTATCATAATCTCCAAAATTAAAACATATACAGATTTTATTAGATAGAATGTCCATCGAAATCTAATTTAGATAACAAAAATTGTAACCAAATAATGAAATTTGAGTCCTGAGGATTAATATTCTCAGTCATATGCTATAATTTGCCCAATCAAATCGGCCCAAAGAGTAATCTAAAAAATGTAATTATTTGAGAGGTAATCTGAAAAAACTTAACTAGAGAAAAAATAAAATAAAAGTCACAAAAAATAACATGAAATGTGATTTTTTTTTTATATATTTTTGTTTACAAATAATTTACTTTTTAGGTGATCCGAATTAGGTATATTTAAAAGGGATATTTGGTGAAAAGTCCACACTTATGGGACCATATTTTATTTGGTCCAATATTTAATATTTATTTTGATCAAAATGACATGTTTAATGAAATTGTTTGCTGTGAAAGACAAATTATTATTTTGAATGAATTTTTTCCAATTTTCCCTACCGTCGAACCACTGTCGGACCATTTTCAGCAATTCGAAAGTTCATCAAAAAATTCACCATCACCAGCAGCATCAGTGGTGGTGGTAGTGGTAATATAGACAGATTTGTAGATTAGGTGGACATAAATGTGATGCATGCACAATTAAAGGGATGACACATAAACAAATAAGTGGATAGATGTATGATGGTCCAAGCCTAAACCTGACCCACTTGTCGTTGTTTGATTGATTGTGGATACGATTTTATGGTTTTAGAGTTGGATCCCCTTATTTGAATTATTGTTGTTGTGGTCATTGTTAGGAGGATTTTGTTGAGTTTTTTTGTCCATAGAAAAAAAAAATTATGAACGACATATCTTCCAAAACAGTTAACAAACTCCATGAAAACACTAAAAACAATTCCCCAAAAAAGGGGAAGAAAATCATGTTCGCATCAACAATCGGTTTTAATAGGTGTGTCACGATCAGACCATCTCCTGGCTCTTTAGACCGTCATCATCCATGAACTTCTTCCACACCGAATGCTGCTTCCACACCCTTTCCACAATGGAATCGATTGGAACGCCCTTCGTTTCCGGCACCAGGAACACCACAAACAATCCCATGACCAAAATCCAAGCCGAGAAGAAAAAGAATATGAAGGCTCGCATGTGACAGAGCATCGATAAGAAAGCTTGAGCCACAAGGAAAGTCATCAACATGTTGGAGCTGACAGCGAAAGCAAAGCCTGAAGTTCTAGTCTCGAGAGGGAAGGTTTCGCTAGGAATCAGCCAACCAAGAGGTCCCCATGACCATGCAAAGCACATAACATACAAGCACACCAGCACCACCACAACCACAGCGAGTCCTTTGTCCATTGTCCCAGTAGTATTCAAGTGAGTCAGTAGAATTGCACCAATTGATACCTGAAATTGGATTCAATTAATTAGTACAAGCACTAAGTGAGAAGAATTTAAATGTAATTACAAAGAAGTGAAATTAATTTAGTACCTGGCAAATGAACATTTGGACACAGGCTTGGAGAAGCAACTTTCCTCTTCCAATCTTATCAACAAGATAGATTGAAACAAAAGTACTTGCCACATTCACTGTCCCAGTAATCACCGCAGACAACAACGAAGCATCGTTCTTGAACCCCATGGTCTGAAACAGAACCGGTGCATAAAACATAATCGCATTAATCCCAGTCATCTGCTGAAATATCTGCAACATAATTCCTATGACTAGTGGTGGCACGCTCGAGCGCTTCATCAGTTTCTTGAAAGGTTGCTTCACTTCCTTGGCTATCTCACATGCCCTTTTCACTTCTTCATACTCATCATCCACGTTGTCCACGCCTCGGATTTTCTTGAGTGCTGCTTTGCCTTTAGTGTCCTTGCCTCGTTCGATAAGGCTAGCCGGTGTTTCGGTGAGAATCATGGAGCCGAAGAAAAGGACAAGGCCGGGAATGCCGGCTATGGCTAAGGAGACCCTCCATCTAATTGGGTGGAGGGTGGAAGTGAAATAGTTGACAATGCCAGCTATGAGAATTCCAATTGTGACAAATAGTTGGAAGAGAATGTTGACTGCCCCTCTGTGTTGGACTGGTGCTATCTCTGATAAGAACACTGGAACAGCCTAGAATCATAGATTATAGTTAGGGAAAAAAAAAATAAAATTTCCTTATTTGTCATAAACTTTATGTAAAGTAAATATAACTCAAAGGGTTGATTGAACATTAAAAATTTGAGGGCAAAATCTAAAATTTTGTCAGTTAACTTCAACTCTGTGATTTGTCGAGGGTGGACAAACTCACCTAGACACTCTATTCTTAAAATATAAAATTTATTTTAGGCACAAAATAACATACCTCATTGCCAAATCCAACTCCAATGCCAAAAAGAATCCTGCCAAGAATGAGCATCCATTTGTGCTCAGCAAGAGCACTGAACCCAGCTCCTCCAATGAAAAATAGGGATGCTACTAGAATTGTGGGCTTGCGACCAAATATACGACATGCCTTTGATGCACCAAAGCTTGCAACCAAAGCAGCAAGGTACAGTGATGATGTGAATAGCTGAAGCAACTGATCATCATATTTGCAGTAATTGTCTTCCTTTGCATGAAGTTTCCTCTCGTGAACTTTTGGAAAGAATTTTATTAAGAAATCATCCATCGCAGTCACGCCACCTATAAAGTCAAAGTCAAAATAATAAGATTCGATTGTTTACTCGAATGAATTAGAAACCAAAAACATAAACGAAAAATGATCATTGACACTCACATATAAATAATAATTTTGCAACAAACATTAATAAACCTTTATGAATCATTACTTAATAATAATTGTTTCAATTATTTAGTGTATAACTTTTAGACTTCCTATTTTAAAGCATATAATAAAATATATATATATGTATATATCTATGATTTTCTAATAAAAGAATTATATCAATATAGTTGAGGGCATTACCTGAAATTCCAATATCATAACCAAACATTAGGCCTCCAAAAGCTGCGACAATCCAACAAGCAACCACATATACAGTGATTTTCGATTTGAATACTTCTACATTAGCCATCTTTGGTTCTCCAAATTGAAAAACACACACTCAAAATTATTAATCTCCTTCAAACAAGAAATCTCACAGGAGAGAGAAGACAGAATGAAAAAAACCTCACAGAAGAGAGAAGATAGAATGAGATAAAGAAGGGTAATTGGATGCTTTTATAACAATGAATTCCCATTAATTTTGGGATTTTGAGATGGATAGGATTTGGGAAATCTTAGTAGCTTATTTTTGCTGGAAAATAGTTCCAATGGTCAAATCTCTTATCCTTTCTGACAAGGAATAACAATGAATTCCCATTAATTTTGGGATTTTGAGATGGATAGGATTTGGGAAACCTTAGTAGCCTATTTTTGCTAGATAGTAGTTCCAATGGTCAAATCTCTTATCCTTTCTAACGAGGAATGTAATTGTTTTTCATGTGATCCATCGTGTGAGATATTTAGTAAACTTCTTAATAGGTACTATTTTTGGGTTAAGTATCAGTCTCTTTTATTAATAGTACTTAATGGATAATAAATCTTAAAAATAAAACATCTAAAATTTTGATACATCTTTTGGAATCTCTACCATTTTTCATTCTTTTTGAGTAATGCTAAAGATCCCAAAAAAATTATTAAATTTTTTATCAAATGCCTCAAATGGGTGTGGGACTCACATGTTGAGATTTCAAAAACTGTATTAAAATTTTTAACAATTGTGTCACATGGATGTGAGACACCGAAAAGGTGTACCAGAATTTCTACCAAATTTGCCCATGACAGATTTGGTTGAAATTTTAGTTCATCTTTTGTGGTCTCTAAGATTTTCTTTCTCTTTTGATGTGGGTCCCACACTGATGTCACATATTTGGTAAAAATTTTAGTGCATCTTTTGAAATCTTTTGTATTTTTTATTATTTGTTTTAGAAACCGTTTTTTCATTTAATAAGGTCAAACATGTTTGAAGGCAGAAGTAAAGTGGATTTATTAAAAACAGTTATAATAATTATTATTTGCTTTTATATATTTTTTAGTTTCCCTCCTGTTATTTTGGATAGTCATGACATGACTCATATTTGTAAAATCCGAGGAGGGAAGAAAACAAATCTTTCATGGTAAAGATTCACTATATAAAGTATTTATTATTTTCACAAACAATTAAGAAACTTGATTTCCTCACTCGCATGGAATATTACATTCGTATAAAAATATTAAGAGTAAATAATACCAGTAGTTCTTATACTATCATTTTAACTCCTATAATTTCAATTAGCTTATTTTTTAACTTAATTTATGATTTTGTCTCAATTTAATTCAATTGATTACAATTTCTAGTATTTTTTTTTATGAACAATGTGCATATAAGCGACACTGGTCATGCTTTTATAGATAAAATTAAAAACTTGTGTAATTTAGTAAGTTACATCAATCAACTCAGTGATTTTTTTTTTTTCAAAAACCCTAATCAGCGTTATAATTATACCAAATTGATATAAAATCTAAAATTAAGAATCAAAATTAAACTAATTGAAATGAGAAATACTGAGATGACACAAGACAAAATGTAGACACTACCGAGAAAATTTGTCCAAATATTATCCATGAAATAATAAAAAATAGTTGAACCCCTAATATTTTAAAAAATAAATTACACCGACACCTATAGATTTTCCTTTGACACTTAAGAAATTACGCTACACCCTAAGATTTCAATTTCCATTACAATTTTTTCCCCTTCTGTCAATCCCCATTAGGAGACTTGGCAATTCTGGATAACATCAGAAATAAAAACTATCAAAATATCAATTATAACCCTCAACCCAAATGATGAAGACTTTGGATGATTTGGTAATGTAATTAGTACCTTAAATTAAAGTTTGGGGACTTCTATTTAGGTCCTAATAGGTGAACTTATTGACCAATAGGTCCTGTGAGAATTCATGGCATTTTTTACCAAACACTATTAAAAAATATCACTAGTTTTTAATTTTTAGCGACAATTTAAAAATTGTTAAAAAAAATGTCACTAATTATAAGTTTTAGTGACAGTTTAAAAAAATAGTCACAAAAAAGTCACTAATTTTTAACTTTCAACGACAGTTTAAAAAATTTGTCACAAAAAAAGTTACTAATTATAAGTTTTAGCGACAATTTATAAAAAACTGTGAGAAAAAGTCCCTGATTGTCAATTTTTAGTGACATATGCAAAAATTCGTCAAAAAAGATTACTTTGAGCAATGATTTTATTAAGACTTATTTTCAATAGGACTTGTGAATTAACTCTAACTATTAGGACTTATTGATAATTTATCTTAAAGGGTTTCTGTAAATATTGTGTTTTAGGATGGGCCACAATGACACTGAAGAAAACAATTGCTGGTAGTTTTTTCTTAGATAATTGTGGGTAAGGGGTTTGATAATTTTTCTGCACGTATTGATAGGTAAAATTATATTGGTACCCATATCTACCCCACACACAAAAAAAAAAAAATCCAGAGTGCTCTGTTTTGGACTACTGCTACTTTTGTTGTTGCAGGAATTTTGACTATGTTCTAGTTACACATTTCATGTGCACCTTGAAAGGAAGAATGGGAACTTGTATCAAAAGTATTTGGATTGATTATATTGATTGAATTGATCACAAATTGATGCATTAGAATGAGTCATTAAAAGGGTTTATACAAGAACACAATTCACAGAAATAAGAAATAAAAGTGGTCATGTATATAATTAATTATAGAATCATGTTTTGAAACTTTTATATAATTCAATACTTAAAAATGTATTGAAACAAGGGAAAAGAGAAATTCAAGGACAAATAATCTTTGGTTATCTTCAACCACTTTTGTCCAGTGTATGCATTGACTAACATTATATTGCATGTGTCACTACAAGAATTCGCACTTTTGCCGACTAAAAATTTGGTCGGCAAAAGTCCATTTTTAGTCGGCGAAAGTTATCCGCGACTAATTTTTTTGGTCACCACTTTGGTCGCCAATTGAGGGTCGCGGAAAGTAATTAGCGACTAAAAAATATTTTAGTCGCGAAAAAATTATATTTGCCAACTAAATTTTTAGTCGTGAAATATATAATTATTGCGACTAATCCATTTAGTAGCTAAAACACTTTAGTCGCGAAAAGTCATATTCAAAAAAAAAACTATAAATAAAACCATTACTGAGGAGGAGCACCAATTCCACAAGAAAAACCTGAGCATCTGGAGAATGAAATGTAGCAAAGCTAAAATAATACATATTGGGCTGAAATATAATTGCAGAATTTTCTCCATCCAGTGGAGAGTAAAGAAAAGAGTATAATTACCCAAAATGGAATTGGGAAAATGATGTAATAACTAAACAATTTATGAGACACAGGTCATAAAAAGTGTATGTACATAGTACTCAAGTATTGCAATCTCGGTCTTTTTTCTTTTCATATATATAGAAGGGGGTGGGGGATAGGAAAAAGAGTATTCCCACACCAATACCCTAATGTCAAGAAGTTCACAGTTCTATCATAATATGTACTTATTCATAGCTAAAATAAGATTTGAAAATGCCTTCGGAGTGTCCAAAACCGATTACAACGGTCCATGATTGATGATATATGTCATGTTGAATAGAATAATAACAATAATCACAATCTACTGACCGGGGTTCCCCAAAAGCCGCTCCACTGCAGCATGAACATTCCCTGCAGTGGCTATCAGTGCCTGTATATTCTCTCGGGTATCAAAGAAGCCCATTTCTTGTAGCTGTGAGAGCTAAGTGGCATACAGTTCTCCCGGGGGCACTAAAAAAACAAGGCATAAACTGTGAGTAGATGACAAAGCATAAATCAGTAGGGCATAGGGGAAAAGGAAATAATAGTCACCATCTGATCTGACAGGAACGGCAGGGCTTCCAATCCCAAGACCCCCAAACATATTCATCAACCAACTATTATAAGTTTTCATCCACAAGTAATTCCAAACTACATATTCGTTCAATTAAAAATCCGCTTGTAATCTATATAATCATCCAATTCACATCCACTTAGCATTAAAATTTAAAACATATTCCTTAAGTAAAGAGTAGAACTCCCTTCACAGAGCATCAATAGTTTTCATTGATTGAGCAAAAAGAAAATTCTTCCAACAGTATTCATATCCAGCTACGTCTCTTTCAGCTTCTTTCCAGGCCTCATAAGCCCGGACAAGAGCAAGGTTATCACTGTAATTACGGTAATCACGTGAAAATTGTGCTTTTGCTAGCTGCAAAGAGAAAGACACACAAATCAATTAGTGAAACTGATAAGATAAGATACTCAATTTTCTAGCAAAAGCTATCTATTAGTGAAACCACAACTAAAATACCCAGTTAACAACTATAGACATAAAATTATAATAGCATAAAAAATCAAGAAAAATCATGATGGATCGGAATATTAAAGTTATAATAGCATTGGGCTGCTAAGGGGGCAGGAAAAGGAAACAAAATTACACTGTGGCACACTGTCAATGAAGATTTAGAAGTAGAAAAACATGAATCATCCAATATAATTTTGTAGCTATTGACATGAACACAATGAATGATAAGAATCCACCACCCACTTTATTTTTACCTAAATTATATATACATATATATATATTAACTTGCTGTGCTGAATAGGGAAAAAAATTTACAATGATGATATGACATGATTATGGATGCATGATATATTTCTCTGTAATTAAATTTTTATAAGTATAATAACAAATCTCACTAGATGTAAATGTGACAGGTACACATTATATCAAAATTGCGTATAAGCCAGAGCTAGCCACTGCAACCCTAGCTACAGCAAGACCAGGCCAGGTCAACACAGCAAGGCTGCAATACCAGCCGCAACTAGAGCAGCTAAAGTCAGAACAGAAAGGGCTGTAGCTTCAGTCATGCTTACGTGTTATAAAGAGAACTAGCATAACTGTTTCAAGTAGTTACGCTGTTAGAATTAAACCATGGTTAGATTAGTTTGTTATGATTAGATTAAATATAAAAGCACTGAATCTTTGTAATCAATTCATCAATCATGGTTTTTGCTGGGTTAAAGGAATTGAGCCTAACAAGTGTAAGGATAATATGGCTTTGAGTACAATAAGAAAGAAAGTTTTTATGTAAAAGAAAAACTCCGTAAAGATTGAAACCTCAAGAGATATCTCAATTTTGACACCTTCTTTGGCTCCTATAGCTTGATGAATCCCCCCAGACCATCTCCTTTTCTCTTCAACTCTCCCCGTCAACTACAGAAATGTCTTGTTGTGCTAATGTGAGTATTCTGCTCAACTCTCCCCTAAGACCATTTATGTACTCAGTTCAACTGTTTCATAATTGAAGTCCTTCAGAGTATCCAAACTACAGGTGCTAAGTGTCCTAATATAACGCATCAAAACCTATTCAAACAATAAGTTCATAAAATTAACGAACAGTAGCAAACACCAATAGCCCAACAGTATGATAGACAATGTAACTAATCAAAAAGTAAATGGCAGTACTACAAGAAATCAAATAGTAGTAAGTTTATCTAAATATTTCTTGTCTAGTAAATGGCAGTAATTAAAATTGAATATGCATTTCAAAAAGTTATTAAAGTTTAAGATACACTCGAAATATTCCAAGGGACAGTTCATCTAAATAGAATTACTTGTAGTACTAAAGGTAATCTATGTTTGAGCAGATGCTGAAGACGTTGTCAACCTAACTATTAGCAGTTATAAGGGAGAGTTACTTAGGGGACCTTAGCAAACATTAGCAGACGTAGTCATGCTGAAGGTAATCTACCTTCAGTGATGAGGGAGAGTTAGGTTGTGGGGTGGCTGAGATAGATGGGGTTGCAAGGGAGCAGGGGGAGAGAGAGAGAGTGAGAAGATGGAGTGTGATTCCTTTTAGAAAAATGTGATTCAATTAAGGAATACTGGTGCTTGGATATAAGTAATTATCTACGTTTAAGGGTATGATAGATATTTTAGTATAAACGTGATGGCCACTATTTTCCATCCATGAGATTAACAAACTGTACGTGTTAAAGTGTTAAATGAATTTAAATTTTGAGGTATGTACAGTGTAATCATGCCAAGACTATGAAGCTATCTATATTTCTTATTACTTGAGGGAGGTCTACATAATTTACCCTATTATTTATCTCTTATTAGTTAAGAAGTACGGACACGGATATGTGACACGACACAGACATACGGACACACAAATTTTTAAAAGATGCAGGGCACGACATGTTGGGGACATGTTCAAAACATATAATTTTATATATTTATTATATATCATATTTTTAAATACTTAATATTTATTTTATATCAAATATTTAATTTTATCAAATTTATTAACTTTAAGTATGCTATTTTAATAAAATAAATTAAAATTTTAATTTTTTTTTGAACTTTACCAACTTTACCAATCTGATCCATATCAGAGAGAGGAGGAGCATGTATTATACATTTCTAAAAGCAGACACAAAATAAACCATGAAATAATGGTTCACTGCTCAGTGAATAAGAAAGACAATCATTATTTATGTCCAACCTAGTTGATTTTGTGCTATTAAGGGGAAAAAGAAGAAAAAAATCAATCCTGTAGTTCCCCACACCTTCCCACTCCCTAAGTTTGTCGGTTATAATATTACTAACATGCAAAGAACCCAATTACAAAATTTAGCCAACAAATGATGTTCCGTGTTACACTAAAATGTTCTTATACAATTCAACAGATCCTCTGCAGATGCAATATTTCCTTTTTCTCAGTCTAAAACTAGCAAAATTTCTGGGAAAAACAATTATTTATTAGAAAACTGATTTGGACCCCACGACCCGCACTGGCCTGAAATTGGCCAATTTTTTTTTTTCCTTCTCCAATCACCAACCCCCACGTGTTTGTGGGGGTGGTGGGGAGAGGGGGCATCAATCACTTCCATATTTAATACATAAATGTCCACTGTGTTTGAACGTTTCAGAAAAAAAAATCCAAAAAATCAAATCTGAAAATTTAATAACCAAATTTTGAACAAAAAATCAACTAGAAGCAGCTCGAGAGAGAATCCACACAACACTGATTACCTGTTTACCATCAGGGCTCCAGCTAACAGCGTAAATGCTGCCTTTATGACCATCCTCTGAGGACAGCTCTCCAATTTTCTCTCCAGTTTTCGCATCATATAGTATACCCTTCTTATCAGAGCTTACCGTAATGAACTTGATACCATCTGTACAAAACTGTGCACAACTGACAAAATTTGAATGATCCTCCTGCACGTAGCATCCTGTTGACCTCGAGCAGCAAAATTCCATCTTTGCCACAATGAAAGAAACAAACAAAGGCATGATAAGAATATGTCCCACAAATGAACATCAACAGTTTTCCCATATAATATCTACTACTCTTTCCAGATAACAGATTTCCACAATGATAATGATATGCCACATGGAAAATAGTGAGGATAGACGACATGGAACAACTAGGTTATAATTTATAATGCATAAACAAGAATGATTACACATTAGCCTCATAAACTTGCAGATATGAATCATATGGTAAATAAAAATGCTTAATTGCCTTTTAAACTACTTTATCTCTTATCAATTGGAAGTGTGAAATGAGGAATTAGGCTACAACACAATACATATACACACATACATATACTAAGTGATTGTCGAGGCAAAGCTCTTCACATGTCAAAACAAAACCTGGTGGAACTTTCATTACAGTCAACAGCTAACAAATACACGGAATCAGAGTGTCGACAATAAATGAAAAATTGTCATAAACTACATTTCTTAGCATAAAAACCTATTCGATGGTTATAATTTTTTCAACTAAAAGTTTGAAGGTATGGAAATCCCACGGTGATCAACGATCCACTTCAGGAAAGAACTGATGGAACATAGAGAATTGGGATCTCATATCAGACATTCACTTGCCAGTTTGAGACTGACAAAGTCATTAATCTTTATGCAGGTGGTGGCTCCATTACCCATATCAACAATACAAGAAGTTAATGAGAAAAATATTTGGCATGAAAATTTTATTTAACCTTTGAGAGAAATTCTGCAAGGAAGCAATAGGAGGTGCAACACTTCCAATATATGCTCTAATGCCTAATTAGTTGTTCACTAAATCATTTTCTACCCAACAAAGATACTAAATTAAATTATGAGAGAGAATAGCATACCATCACGAGTCCAATTAATTCTACATCTTGAACAATGTATCAAGTCAAAAGCTTGATAGGGTTTAAGATCTGTTCGGATTATAAAACTACATCATTGTTGTTCCAAGGATACACAGTCACATAGAGATATAGAGGAACCATTTCAACCCAGTCATTAGAGGAACCGACTGGAATGAGAGAGTCGAAAGAAGACTCAAAAGAAGCGTACCGTCTCGCCGCCGAACTAGTCTCGCCGCTGACTGAAACCCTTCCCCTTCAACCCCAGTCTCTCTTCAAACCCTCTATCTTCTCTCTCTCAGATTAAGGTTTGCTCACTGTTTTGAAACATTGTGAAATTAAGGGCTCCACAAACCTGAAAGGAAATGAAAAAAAATGGGGTGGAAAAGGTAGAGGGAAAAAAAGGGGGGGAAATTAAGTTTGGGCGGGTGGAAAAAGAGAAGGGGGTAATTAGTTTTATTTTTATTTTAATTAATTTTTTTTTTATTTGATAGAAGTAGGGATAATATTTTAGTGAAAAATATTTTTCATTAAAATAAAGTTAATTTTTTATGGTCGATGAAAAATATTTTTTGTGACCCTTTTTTTTGGGGGAGGGGGAGGGAAATAGTTTTATTTTTATTTTAATTATTTTTTTTATTTGATAGAAGTAGAGGTAATATTTTAATGAAAAATATTTTTCGTTAAAATAAAGTTAATTTTTTATGTAGTAGTAGTAGTAGTAGTAGTAGTAGTAGTAGTAG